GCTGTGCCTGAACCTGAATCTACTACTGTTTCAGCCATCAACTGTGGCTCCTCAGTTATTGGCTAACTTCTCAGGCAGTAGCCAGGGCTTCTAAATCCCGCCAGACCTACCTCCTGCTGCCACCACCAAATGTAGTTTTTAACTAAATCTCTATCATTCTATTCACCAGTACAGTCAGAGACTGGGGTGAAAACCTGCTAGCTCAGAGAGGTTGAAGAGCAACTAGCTGACCTTCCCTCTCCATTGGTGTCTCAGAGTCTCTTCCACCTCTAAACCAAAAAAGGCCACCACACTCAAAGTGCCTCCCTACTACTTTCTGTGCATCTGTCTGTTTTCCAGACTCCTTCTGACTCTATGATTACTTTCTGTCAACTAGTTGCTGGTTCCACCTCCTGATCCAAGGTTGATTCTGTTTAATTAATGCAAATGTACACTCAGAGTTCACATGTGATCATATATCTCACAACACATAACCAGCACAGAAGTGTCAATTCAGAATTTGAGAGGATCAAATTCTTAAGGATCTTACTATATAATAATGTCTTTACAATACAGTGTAGTATATATAGATACACACACACACACACTCACACACACACAAATGAAGGGGGCACAGTTTAGGTCATGTCCATAAATATTATTACACTGTGTTTCTAGTGTTCCTGAAGAATGAGAATCTGGATGATAGTGGTGAAGTATAAACAGTGTTACTTTTCCTTCAGAGGAAATAGATAAACATTTCTCTCTATTTATTGTATCTTTCCTTCAGAGGAAATTGATACACATTTTTCTATATATTGTAAATAGCAGAAGCTAAATAAGGTCCTTAAATCTTTCACATGACAATAAATCTTGTATGGTAGCAAGAAAGTGCTGACTTAATTTTCCATTCATTTCCCTGGGGCTGTTATAAAAGACAAGGTAAATCTAGGAATCAACGTCACTCCTCTACCTGGGCTTTAACTGTGTCAGATAGTCACTTGTTCTCCAAGTTGGTCTAAATAGCTAACTGTTGTCCTTGAATGGTGATCTAAGGTGATGGTCGCTGTCCATACTGTGAGAGAAGATTAGAAAAGGCACACAGAAGTGAAACTGTCAGGATTATCTTGCCACACATTATCATCTTATACTGACCGGTGTCTCCATAGTGATCAGTTAATTAATATGTGCTAATTTTTGTGTGTAGTTGTAGGTGTCCATATTTTAAAGAGATTAAAATGTGTTTAAAATAAAGCTTGGCATTTTGAGAAAGTACATTTTAAGTTTATTTGAGATTAACAGTCATGACAGTTTGCCAGCAGTCTGTGCTGCTTTCATACAAATATAGAGAAAAGGGGTAGTTAAATATATATCTGAGTATGTTTTTGCCAGGGGACTATAATAAAAAGATTTACAGGTAGAAGTATAGTCACATAGGATGGTCACATAGAAAAATATATTGTAGACAGATATCTGAGTTACTGTTCTATTGCTATGAAAAGACACCATGACCAAATAACTTATTTTTAAAAAAAAAACATTTAATTGGGAGCTTACTTAACATTTTCAGAGGGAGAATCTGTGACCATCGTGGTGGTAGTGGTGGTGGTGGTGACAGCGGTGGTGGCAGCAAATAGGTAGGCATGGTGATGAAGCAGGATCTGAGAACTTACATCTTATCAGCAAGTGAGAGGCAGAGAGAAAAGTTGGGAATGTTATTGGCTTTTGAAACCAGAGCCTGCCCCCAGTGACATACTTCCTCCAATAAGGCCACAACTCCTCCAAAAAGGCTACACCTCTTAGTCTTCCCAAACAGTCCACCAACTGAGGAGCACATCTTAAGAATCTTTGAGCCTATGAGAAGATTCTTATTCAAGCCACCACAACAGACATGGTAACATGGCCGTCTAGCCCCAGCAGTTAGGCTGAAGCACAACAAATACCTGAGACTTAAAGCTAGCATTAGGCTACATAGTGAGTCCCAGGCCAGCCTGAGAGTCAGAGCAATACTCTTACCTCAAAAAGCCAAAAGAAAAATACATTGTAAAATTAAATCTGGTTACAGAGATAGCTGAAAGAAGACAGATTATAATTTAAATTGAAAAGGTACTAATGAACTGGAAGCCTGTAGTTGTGCATATAGTTAAACATTAGAAAAACAGAGTATTGCATTCACGAGTTGTGCTTGATAGACAACTTTAGCTGCACATTATTGGCTTGTGATGGTAATTTATTTGTGGAATGGCAGTGTGAGCAGAAAACAATGCTTTAGAGGTCAGTAAGTCTGTTTCTATATTTATATTAGATTTAGATTATCTTGTTTATTGTAGAAAAAACCCTGAACTAATGAGCTAAGTAAAATAAGGATTTCCTCCCTTGATTAAAATAATGGCTTGCTAACAGTACACATGTCAGTGTACGTCTCTATGAAATTACAGGATCCCAAGCTCAAGGAGTTTCAGAGCTAGCACTGCGAAAGTTGCATATAGTTCAAGGTGAATACTAGACTTGAGTTACCAAGTAGTAGTAGTCTAGATGGCAAGGAAAAAATGAAGAAGGTGAGATCCTTCCCTGCCATTATGACGGCAAGGAGACTTTGCTGACATGTCTCCCAGCAGTTTCTGGCTCTGTGGTGTTAGTCTTGGTTATTGTACAAAGCAATACTTTTGTTTTGAATGTTGCAAAATATAATCTTTGACTGTACACATGTCTCCATAGCAAAACAATGGGAAACAGGCATATGGGAAGGCATACAGTAATATGCATGTAATGAAGAAAGCTTCAGAAGTGTGTGAGATGGTCAAAGGTAGACGCTGAGATCCACAGGCCATTGCAGATACGATAGCATTGGGTGTCAGAGGACACGAACAGCTGAGAGAGTTGAGAAGACTCTGGGGAAACATTACAAATTAGATAACAGCACAGCTCATAAAGGCAACTTGTAAGTCCCAAGGTAGGTGGACTGTGAGGGAATAAAAATAATTATTATCTGAGGACTGCAGTCCTGATCTCCTGAAGTGATAACAAGTTTAGGTTAGGACAGAGCAAGGGAACCAGGGGAACACTGGTAGTGCTGATTATGAAGCAGTATGGGCTAGATGGGTCTTTGAATGTGAAGGAATTCTGTCTGATCTCAAGTAATGAACTACAGACGGATTATAGTTCATTAGTATTGTGTTAATTTAGCATTGGGCCCTGGTTTTAATCCCTGCCTCTTCTTCCCCACCCTCAAGAAAATCAAAAATACAATAGTTCTTCAAACCAGTTTGTTACAAAGAAAATCAGTTTAGTAGAATATTTTAATTTTGATAGCAGTCCTAATTCATAAAGTAGAGTACCAAGATATCTAGGAAATATAATATCATTAGGAAATGCAGCAAGATGCTACTTTCAATCCCCAGGTTGACACAAGTTTTTGTTTAATATCAGCTTTTGTGAGTTTAACAGATACAGGCTTTTGCATAGATTATAATTATAGAAATAATTATATAGTGGTACTTTGTTTTAAAGCACACCTTAAAGTAGCTCTCAGAAATGGCACTTGAAATGCTACCTCTTGGTTCCCTCTTACCCAACTTGTGAATACATCCACTAGGAGGTGCCATAACACAAGACCAATTATAACAGTTGAGAATTACCCCAGTGTGCGTGCTGGAAGAACCCATGTGTACTGTGAAAACACTAGTGCTGCCGTCTCCGGGATGTGCTGAGTTTGTAGAGGGGGCGTTACATGTTTTGCGTGTGTGTGTGTGTGTGTGTGTGTGTGTGTGTGTGTGTGTGTGTGTTCATTCCGTAGTCACCACCATAAACATTTCTGGTTCTCAGCAATGGAAAACTGTTGTGTTAAGGAGGTCTTCACTTTAGTCTTATCGCAAATGCTTTTATTAGTCTTTAAAAAGGTGTATTTATTTAAAGGATGAGCATACATTGAAATGACTGGAGCAGTTCTCCCTATAAATCTTAGCTCAAGCCTCTCTTGGCATCCTTGCCCAGGTTGTCTATCAGCACCACTAAACTAGCACATGTTGGGCATTTTTTACATGGGTTGTATTTTGTCTTTTCTTGTCTTGTCTTTTTACTTTAATGCTTTGACTCACAAGTTAAATTGTACACCCTTTTTACAGCAAAGAAGGCCTTACTTGGAAAAATGTGCTAGCATAGTGGTTCTCTTGCATTGTTTAGGTAAGATTTTTGTGGTAAAATCCAGAATAAATCTAACTTTATTTTAAATTTATATACGTTCTGAATTTCTTCCTAGGTAAAAATATTTTAAATACTCAGTCTCTTAAAAATTTTAAAGTATAAAAGTTCAGCTGCTTCCCATCTCACAAGATAGCACTTAAAAAGCCAGGAAACTAAACCAAAGGTGAAGCCTAGAGCCAAGAAAGCAGTACTGTTACGTGATTCAACAGGGGAAGCCTGAGACAAGAACTCTCAAGATGTGAAACCTTGTCTTGTTTAGAGAATTGACAGATACTCCTCAACTTTCTGGATGTTCTGGAAAGGGAATGTAGGAAAAGACATGCTCAGCTGTTAAGTCCAAGGCTGCGAAGAATAAGACTGTCCACAAACCACTTGGTGGGAACAAGAATGATGTTTAGTTCATTTGCATGCTTAGCAGAATGACTAGATATTCTACTCAAAATATGTTGCAAAGGCTCTTGAGCCTCTGGGAATTGGGAGGAGCCTGCAATAAGCACACACTCCTGGTGTCCAGTCAGCAGTACTTACTTACCTCAAGAGCAACAACCATGGAAGCCCAGACACAAGGACCATGAGCTCGATGTCATGGAAAAAGGAAAATACCAGATTATAGGGCAGCTAAGGTTTATCAGAAAATGGTTGTGGATATTTTTTCAAAGATTAAAAATGTTCCCTCATCCAGTTTTATCCTAACAAATGGAATTTATCCTCATGAATGGATGCTATAAAGTTTATAATCTTGGATGTAATTAAATAACTGGTGGATATTTTTAAAATGTATAGAAATTTAAAAGCAACTTATTTTTCTTTTTGTGTAGGTCGCTTATATGCTATGCAAACTGGAATGAAGATTGATAGTAAAACTCCTGAGTGTCGTAAATTCTTATCAAAGCTAATGGATCAGTTAGAAGCTGTAAGTTAAACACTAATAACTTACTATCTGACTGTTTTAGGTGGCATTTCATTTTGTGTTTTTGTGCATGTGTGTGTCTTCTGTCATTTCAGCCCTTCCGCTGGCAACACTTAGCAATATCATTATACCTGATGAAAACTTAGCACTGTATGCAGGGGAGCTCCAAGTGTAAAGTAGGCTCAGTTATCATTGCATATGCATTATTGTTGATGGCTTTCTGCTCATCCTTTCCTACTTTCGTTCACATGGTCATCTGGTTTACTGACCGAGGAATTCTTCAATGGCTCCCACTGGAATAAAGTGGGCTGTTTAGTGGAAGGAATCATGAATGAGGTGGTTCCAGTTGCTTATCCTCTTCATGGCAGCGCACACTCCTCTTTTGGCTGGACAGAGGTGGATGAGAATGTCTCCCTCTTCACTGTGGGGAACTGGAACGTTATCGGTTATTATGTGGATAGATTAACAGAAAGTTGAGTTGTTTGGATTGAGTGTCTCTAAATAAAGAATATAATGCCGACCATTACTTGTATTAGTAATCAAGGTCCACTCAGTGACCCAGTGCCCTGCTATCCTAGTGTCATGGTTAGTTTATTTTGTCACTTGGTGCAATCTGAGTCACTGGGAAGAGAGAAATTCAGTTGAAGAATTGCTTTGATCAGATTAGTCTGTTGGCATGTCCATGGTAATTGGTGCAGCAGGTCTCGGCCCACTGTGGGTGATGTCATACTAAGGCAGGTTGGCTTGAACTTTCATACATCGTGGTGAATGCATAAAGTTCCACCTGTACCAGACATTTACACAGATTATGTTTTTTCAGTTATAGTAATAACAGCTAAGATAAAAGCTTTAGACTGAGCAGAACTCAGTTCTTTACAAGGCATGCAATCATGGCAAATGACATAAAGTCAGCAATTATGCATGTGTATCTCAGTGATACAGTGTTTGCATTATACTTTAAATCATTCAAATATGTCATGATTTTATGAGCTACTTTTGCTTGAGCATAAGATGAAGTGGCCTATTTTCACTAATTTTTAGGACTAAATCTGCTTTTACAAATCAGTTTACAGGTTAAACACAGTAAATTGTGTTATATGAGGATTTAGGTGGATTTCTGCTGTTCTTTAGAGTAAGGTTAGGCAAAATTACCTTAAATTCCAACAGTACATATATCTCTTCTGGAGATTAAATTATTCTGTTTTAATTGCTAGTGTTTTAACTTTGACTGACTTTTAGGCAATCCACATTGTGTGTGTGTGTGTGTGTGTGTGTGTGTGAGAGAGAGAGAGAGAGAGAGAGAGAGAGAGAGAGAGAGAGATTGTCTGCATGTATGTGAGTGTTCCCCATGTGTGCAGTATCTACAGAATCCATAAAATCCATAAGAGGACATCAGATACCCCTGGTACTCAAGTGAGAGATTTTTATAAACCACTGTGTGGGTGCTGAGCACTAAACCCATGTACTGTGCAAGAGCAACAAGTGCTTCTAACCCTGAACTGTTTTTTCAGCCAGCCTCTGACAAAAGCAATTTTAGTAATATGGTTGCCTAAATCTGATGTTCCTGAAAATAATTTTATTTCAGTTTAATGGTTCTAGACAAGCAAAAGAGAAACTACTTCAGTTTCAAACTATTTCAAATTACTGTTTGGATAGTGGAGCGATATGCAAACTGAAAGTCTGCATAATTGTAAACTGCATTGACTTGGGCTATATGTGTCTAAGTTAAAATAATCTGGTAATTAATTTGCTACTTTATTCTTCTCCAGTTTGCTGTGAGCTCTCCTTTAAACACTGTGCTCTAGAGGTGCTATTTTAGACACAGTGATGCTCATAAATTTTATTTTTATAGATTTGATACAAACTGAAATAGGTCAAAGTTAAATTTTAAATTATGTGCTTGAGAAGTTTCTAGTTCCATTTTAGGGTAGTTGTTAGTGGCTGGGTAATAGTTATATGGGGTTTGATCCTTCACCACGATACTTGGCAATGTTGTCTTTTATTTTTAGTTGTTTTCATCTTGAAAGTTCCAATGTACCTTTACGTTTTCATCCTTGTGAGGGAGTTGAGCTTTTGTTTGAGTACAGGAGGCTGGAGTAGAGCTATTTTATAAGATTTGCTGATACAGTTTTTATTGAAATGAATGCGAAGTGATTTATTTAAAGTAAATATTAGAATTACTTGTTCTTAAACAGATCCTTTTGAGAACCCAAACTCATGAGTTTTGTGTCTGATTTTATTTTAGCTTAAGAAACAGCTGGGAGATAATGAAGCTGTTACTCAAGAAATAGTTGGCTGTGCCCATTTGGAAAATTATGCTTTGAAAATGTTCTTGTATGCAGACAATGAGGATCGAGCGGGACGGTTTCACAAGTAAGTGAGGAAGGAAAATAAAATTTTTTTTTTTATAAGTTTGGCTACTTTCTGACAAGAATTACCTAGTTTCCAGTTGAATACTTTGTATTCACCTGAGTATTGGTTTCTAAACTTTGCAAATCTAATGTCCAGTGATTTTTTTAGGTTACAAGAAGACTATTTATGTCAGACTCATTCCTCAGTACATTTGTCCCAGCTAGCCACTCCTTACAGTTAGTGAAAAGAACTGAGTTGATTTTAGTCAAAACAAATTTGTCCTGATGATGTCAATTTTTAAAGCATACCAGTCTAGCTGGGTGTGGTGGCACATAGCTATTTCGAGATAAGAAGATTCTCAAAAACTCAAAGCTAACAGAGGCTACATCTAAGATACTGTCTCAAAAAGTAAATCATACACAAAGCAAGAAAGAGTACTAGCCAAATTAGATGATAGCTTGGTCGCTATTATAATATTTAAAACCATAGAGATGCATTGTTCTTTATATAGATTCCCGTAATAGTTGACATTGCTAAATCAAACTTCACGATAAAAACCTTGTAGCCTTTACTTAGGTCCAGTGTGTTAGATTTTTATGATGACATTAGCAATGGGCTCCCATTTGTTTTCTTGGAATAGACTTTATTTCAAGCACTAATTTCAGTGTTTTTAAACATATTTTTTATAGGTACTTGACTGCATTTCAGTGTTTAATTTAAATTCGAGTACCTGTTCTCTTCCAGAAACATGATCAAGTCCTTCTACACCGCGAGCCTTTTAATCGATGTCATAACAGTGTTTGGCGAGCTGACAGATGAGGTGAGTGTGCGCCTGTCTCAACTGAAGAGGAGCAGAGTTGCTTTCTGCTGTTTTATGTTGTATTGTTTCTTCAGACCATCATGTCTGTCAGAAGTGTGAATGGAAGCAAAAACGGTCATTTTTCCAGCTACATTTTGAAAGTCAAATGAAACAACATGTTACACATAGGGTAGGAATGCTTTGGAAGATACTTGATTTATCACTTAAAAAAGAAAAGAAAAAGAAACAAGAAGGTAATGTAATTGTAAATACAAATGCTTAAAGAAAAGGAATGGAACAAAAGAAAAGCAGAAATAAAAAATTGTTTATCAAAATCCTATCAATACCAATATTTACTTGACAAAGATGAAGATGGGGCAGGAGAGACAGCTCGGCAGTTAGGAGTACTAGCTGCCCTTCCTAAAGTAAAAGTGTACAAAAGGACATTCATGTCAGATACAAAGTCACCAAAAGCCAAGCAGCAATGATAAGCAAAGTAAGCTTCTACATTTTACTGTCTCATATTACATGAGACATTTCCTGCCAGTCAGGAGTCAGTTCATGAAGAAAATGGTATAGACACAAATGTCTCTATACCACATAACAAGATTTTCAAATTATATGAAATACTTAGCACAAAATGTTTAAAAATTTGTAATTATAGTTAGAGATTTTAAAAACCTACTCAGTCATTGATTTTAAAAAAAAAAAAAGAAAAGAAAAACACAACACAACGCAAAATAAAACCAGTAGCTTTAACAATCACAGAACTCATCCAAACAAATACTGGCCCTGAGATGTTTAGAACCAGACCTTTCAAACTGTGCTTGGTGAAAATATTAGATGTTTTAACTACTTAGTGGAAAGAATTGGCAGGTTTTATAAAATTAAACATACGCCCACCTTTTCTACCAGCACTTCCTTTTCTGGTACTTACCCAAGAGAAATAAAAACTTATGTCTAGAAAAAGAGCTTACTCATTGGAAATTTATTCATAATAGCAAAATCTGAAAACAACTGAGATGTCTACATCTCAGCAATTGATCAGCAAAATTGTGGTGTTATTCAGTATGCTACAGAATTGACATGTGATGTAGCCTAGAATATGAATACATTTTGTATAAATGCTGGTCAAAAGAAGAATCGAATGGTGTGCTTTGCATGTTTGCCTGTATATAATGTGTAGCTAATAGAAAAGTTCATTTTAATACAAAAAAAAGGAAAGAAAAGTACTTTTAAGAACTTTTTTAAGAGGGCAAGGGAAACGGATTTGGAAAGGGCTATAAAGGAATATTATTAGTTAGAAATATGTATTTTGGGAGGAATTTATTTAGGTCAATATCTGTTTATCAAAATAATAATTAATATGCATAACATACATTACAAATTATATGTCAGCTTTATTCCAAAAATTTCAGTATTGAACTTTTTATAGGCTTATCTGGGGTAAGTTGGCAGTTATAAAGTGGCTTGCTCTACTCTGGGATTGAACAAATGGATAAAAACAGAAGGAAGCAGGTTTTCACTGTGGTAGAAACTAAGTGCAAGAGGAGAGAGAGAGAAGTATATTGTGTTGCAAAATTAGAGGATCTTATGTCATGTTTCTGAATACATTGGTTTATCTATACACATTTATGCATATGTGTATATGTTGTTTTATATACACAATTTGCATGTTTTTGTGAATATGTATTGACAGTGTGTATGTAATATGTGTAAAACGCATATACTGCCTACTTCCTATTTCTCTATACCAAGACTATCTAAAACAGTCAAGTGCCAGTAGCAAAGAACACCCTAAGTACCCGATTTTATAACAGGAACCAGTACTCTTATGAAAATGAATCATAGTTCAGTTCAGGAAAACATTGCATTAGGTTAGACCTTCTCGTACAAAAAACAAAAAACAAAATTTGTAGTGTGATCATAATCAAGAGACACAGGAGACACCTTAAAGGGGCCACATTGTCTGTATAAAGAACAGCTTCCTCTGGACATGGTGGTACACACCTGTGATTCTGAATGTGGAACATTGAGGTAGGAAGATGTCAAGTTGGAGACCAACCTGAGCTATGTTTAGACCCTATCTCTAAATAAATAAATTAGTAAGTAAATAAAGGAATAGAAGGAGAATGGAGAAGAAAAGTGTGGACATCAGTGCAAGTCTGATAACAGCGGACAATAACTTGTGTCTATAAATCATTGGGGCCATATAATAACATGAGTAGATAATAGAAGAACAGAGAGACTCTTTATAGCATTAAATTCTATTAATTATCTCCCTTGAGATTACTGAATTTCTTCAAAGAGAGAAACAGTGAAATTATAAGGAAAACACGTGGACCTTTTTAACCAGGTTATGAAACCTGGCAACACTAGTATTGGAGCAAGCCAACATCACCATTATCCTATTCAATATTAAATTGTTTGTGTCAGTGCTGTTCAAAATATATGATGTGAACCAAACATGAAGAAACATCCAACAGATCTAATCAATAGACATTTTATAACTACGCTAGCAGTTTTTATGTCAGGGTCAAGAAAAAGTCCTTATCAGATCGAAAATAAATAGACATGATTACTAAATATGACTAAATAATGCATGCTTCTTAGATTAGATCTTCTGCCTTGGGAGAAGTAACAGCAGAGGACATCACTGGTGCAGTGACATGGTGTTGTGCTGTGGAGCAGATAGTACTGCTGTGTGTACATACTCCTGATCTCCATGTCTGTTGTGTAGGAGATTGCCTTCCATCTAAAAAAAATGATTGCAAGATATGTGGAATATCTTGATTAGAAAGAATGTATCTACCTGTATGTAATATAATATATACTCTTATTAAAACTTTCCCATAAGTTTAATGAAGCTATATTATTTTATAGTTAACATCCATATGTTATTTGGAAATCTTAGGTAATTCAAACATATATAGCAATGCTATGATAAGAGAGTTGATAAATTATGTGGATCATTTATTATTTAATTACTTTTTAAGTAAATTCTGCTCTCTTCAAAATCTGTTTTGTGAGATTATGGTTGCTTTGAAAATTCTGCAACTATAAAACTTTTGTCTAAACCTCTCGGGAAGTATATGTAAAAGTAATTAGAAGTACTTCGCAATATAGTCATTATTAAAACAATTTTTATAGCTTGTGTCTCAAGTATTTCTCACTACATTTCATTGCTGCTGGTACTATATTGATATCTGTTGCTTATCGTACAAACAGTAGGCATCATACGTATTTTAGGGACCAGAGGTAAATGCGCTGTAGGCACTAAGAGATAATTAGTCTTTTGTTATGACTGCTTTAAAAATGTGCTGAAAGCTATAAATTCCCTCTCAGGAGGTTTTTTTTCTTTTCCACTTCTCTTTATTACTTGGGGATCTTACATATATCTTCAACACTGTCCTCAACCCCAAGTCAGAATGTATTCAGGTTTAATAAAAAGCGTTTACTGCTACATTTTAATCGTTGTGCTTGAGAAATTAAAGGTAGGAATAAGTAAGCAACTTGATTTGCGGAAGGCTTCGCTGAGAATGAGGCAACATTTTAACAAATCCTTAAAAGCAATAAGGGGGAAAAAAATCACATAGATAGTCCAGAAAGAGACAATTTTAGATGAAATGCATCCTTTTTTATCAAGTTCTGTAATGATTCTGAAGCTAATATTAACTACACATCCATGATTGGAGGTACCAAGGAAAATTCTGTGACTGAATGGAAATTAAGAACAGTGAGAATAATAGAAGATACTGAGGAGGGGAAATTCAGAATAATTGATAAGAATTCTTTATTTAAGTTACTATTTTCAGGGTGGTAGACAAGGATTGAATAGGGAAAGTAGACATTAGATAGTCAATATGAGAGCTATCACTTTTTCAGACCTGAATATTCAGTGGTGGTTATGATGGTAAGTAGTTGGATTCTGACTGTGTTTCTGATAGAAGTAGGTGATAAGAGAATGATTGGAAGCTTGGTCTTGAGCAGCTGTTAAGAATGGTGTTGCAAGCCACTTGTGGTAGCATGCTTTAATTGTAGCCCTCGGGAGACGAAGGCCAGAGGATCATGAGTTCCAGGCCAACCTAGTTTAAGCCTAGCCTCACTAGTGCCTTAGAACAATAACAAATAGCAAAAAAGGGAGAACTGCCATTAAGACATGTGTATATAGTGGCTTAATGACAGTTGAACTACAGCTCTGAGGTCTATGAGATCATTATAAGCTTATTAATTTAGGACTACAAAGAACTTATTCTAAAATGAAAATATTCTGTAATAAAAAGATTTCCTCCAATATGATGCCTTTTACTAGGTTTTAATGTGGTTGTCCCTCATATATTGTTGTCAGTAACAAAACTATGTGGAAAATGGGGCAGGGGGAGGCTGACAACCCTAAAAGGGAAATGTTTAGTTAGGTATGTTAAGTCCTGAGATTTGAAATGGTCTGAAAAGATGTAAATTTGGAACTTTTTTATATGTTGTTGTCAAAAGCCAACATGACCAAGGCAAATTTAAAAGAAAGTATTTAAATGGGACTTGCTCACAGTTCAGAGGGTTGGTCCATTATTATGATGGCTGGAAGCAGACAAGCATGGTCCTAGAACTTAAGCTCAGAACTTTGCATCATGACCCACAGGCAACAGGCACAAACAGAGTGCAAAATAGGGCCTGGCCTGGGCCTTTGAAACCTCAAAGCCCACACCCAGCTGCTCCTCCTACATGGACACAGCTCCTATTCCTTCCAAGCAGTTCTTCAACTGGGAACTAAGCAGACATATGTGTAAACGGAGACTGCACATTCATTTCCCAGCCACCCAGACTTAAATAATCACACAAAAATTATATTCATTACAACACCATTTGGCCAATAGCTTAGGTGTATTCCTAGCTAGCTCTTACATCATAAATTGACCCATTTCTATTAATCTATGTATCACCACGAGGCTATGGTCTACTGGTAAGGTTCCAGTGGTGGCTTTCTCCTTGACTCAGCCTACTCTCTTTATCTCTGCTCAGATTTC